CGCGTTGCATTTTATGACCGGTGCCTGCCTTCGGCTAGGCCCCGGTAATAAAAGCTGTTGAGGCCACATTCGGTCAAGCAATTGGGCGAAATTCGACACGAGCTAAGGTTTCCTCGATGCAATAATTTAACGCGTTTTGCTTTTGAGACTAAACTAACAAATATTCGAACAAAACTCTCAAATGAGAAAATTTGTTGCCATTTTTCCTTTGTTCAGTCTGAAAGCGATATTTTGGGGCAAATTTATGTACCAACAATTTCTCATAACATACCGTTTGTTTAATGTCTGCAATCAGTAAGGAGAATTAGAATCAATTCGCCAAAGAAACGGCGAATCATTGTGCGTCAATGCCAATATTACTGTTACAAATGTCTTGAAGTTTCATTCGAGGGACCTTGTAACTGCTATGAAACACTTGTCCTCGCCTTGGCGGACAAACTTTGATTCAACAACGGCTATTGACCCGGCGTCGCTATCGCCAGCATCAGTCTTACAGTCCATATTTTTCCGTATTCAAGTACGCAAGAATACTAAACCGGTTTTGAGAAAAAAACCCGACTGTTTTGAAGTCTAGTCTTCCAGCTTAATTGTGACTCAGTGTTACAGGCTAGTCTTAACGATTTATCAATCTCTCATTATTTTTATCAATATTATTAAAAGTGAGTTAAGGTTAAATAACAAAAGAAACAGCACTGTAGAAATTAGCCCAGTCTTTGACTTTCGGAATACGTCATAGGGTTTCGGGAAGTTTTTCATGTTTAGTGGTAGCCCCCAGACATCTTTCACGGGTATAAATTAGCATCATTTCAGTCTTGGTTTTACCAATTATTTTTGGTTTGGAGGCAGTCACCTTAATTTGCCTATTTTTCATCGTTGATTCAAGATTACTTCGAGTGAAGATGACGATGCTTAAAGTTCACCTCAGTCTTTTGGGTTTGTTCTGGCTTTTTTCGACGATTGTCGGTAAGTCAGATTCTTTAATATCTAACCACTGTTTATTTTCATTGTTTTGGCTTTGATAGCACCTCTGATTTTAGACATGAAACGCTTTGTATCGAACCTGCCGTATACTCTCAGTGCCGATATTAGAGTGATTTTACTAACCCGTGAACAAAGTTTCCAGTACTCCGCGGTGATTATTATACCAAAATGGACACAATCACAATTTCGCTTGTTTTTCTTTTTTTGCAGATGCCACCCAAAAAGAAACCGTGACATTGAAGATGTCCGATCCTGACGATCGACCCTCGGACGAACAACTGAGGGTCATGTTAAAGAAAGCAGATCTTGAGAAGCATGGTTACAAGAAAGAGCTCACCAGGAAGCTAGTGAGTGGTCCAGGAAGTGACAAAACAGACTACCAAAAAGCGTTCCTCTACTACAAGATCGTGAACTGCTCGCGGCTGCAGGAGATTACCGAAGAGCTCGAGACTTTGATGCCAGGTAGACACCGAGTTCTTCCTTGAAAAATATTCTCATTCGCTTCTTACTCTGTCAGCTTTCAAAAAATACAAAAAAGAAAAAAGGTCGCAATCAGCTGATTGAGTTCGCGCTCACAATATAATACAGTGCAATTGAGCTCATGAATACGATACGATACAACAACTTTGTTTAAGCAAGATAAACGTTTTAAGCTTCACAACTCGAGTGGTCGTTTATTAGAAATAAAAGATTAAAAAATATTACCAAAAACATGGTTCAAGAAAAAAAACAGCAATTTCACTAGCCTGCGAAAACATCCGTTTCTCCTCGCTCTTCGTAGTCTGCTACACAGCCGTTTTTAGTGTCGTCACGCAACGCTCCTCCTCCCGTGGGGAGGAGCGTTGCGTGACGACTCTAAAAACGGCTGTGTAGCAGACTACGCTCTTCGCCGCTGGGGACGTTTCACGCGGAGGAACGTCTGCGACTCAGCGACAGAAATTCCATACTGATGACGTAAAATCTGTCCGGAATCCGGTCAAAAGCGCTGATTGGTCGACGGAGTAGTTACATTGTTTTAGCTATTGTTTACGAATGACAGACAAAAGACAAAAGGCCACAAAGCTCAAATGTAAACGAGAAGAATCTCTAACAAAACAGTCAATATTCAATTCATTTCATAAGCAAGAATCTGCGTGTCCATATCAAATTCAATTTCCCCCAAGACCTTTTCTAACATCCTGTATGTTTCATAACCACATGTCTGTTTTACACTATGATTTCCAAGGTTCAGATAAAAAAAAAAGCCGACGAAGTTGTTTCTCTGTAAAATCATTACATCGGACTCAGTCTTTGGGAGAGTAATTAGAGTATAAAAATGATTAACTATATTTTTTGTTTAGATCCCTTTATGATCAAATTGGCTGCGAAGTTTAACATGGAGGCCAAGGCCAGAAATCTATCCAACATGAAGCAGTGCAAAGTGGGTTTAGAGATCCATTTCAAGAACGGTGGGAACTGCGCTGTCAAGAAAACTAAAACTCGTCGTCGAAAACGCGACTGGTGTATTTGCTGGCGTTGTATTATGGGTGAAGGAGAAAAGGAAGATACGGATCAGTGAGAGTAAAGATCCGCCTTGCCCGTGAACACTGAAGATCATTATGGAAGCATAATATGTAGTCAAAAAGTTGTCACCGGTTCACTAAGAACACAGTAGATGCTAGAGTTGTAAACTAATAGTTAAAGCTTCAAAATAAACGCTCATTCGAATATTCCTGTTACTGATTAAATTACTTACTGATGAATGATAAGTTTAACTATATGAGTACAATATTTGTTGAGGCACCTCTAGCCTGCGTGGCAGGCGCAAAAAGGGGAGGGGGAGGGGGGAGGGAGAAAGGGAAAAGGGAAGGGAGTCCCCTCTCCCTCTCCCTCTCCCTCTCCCCAATCCCCCTCCCCTTTTTCCCTTCCTCCCTATCCCCTACCCCCTACCCCTTTCGACGCCTGCTACGCAGGCTAAGGCACCTCCTCCACGAAACCCTCACAGTTAGGATATCCAATACAAGAGGGGGGACTACTGTTAGAGGAATCCTCGTATAAGCAGATGTACATGCAGTGGAACCTCGATTTAACGAATCTGTAACGAACGATTTTCGTCAGCCCAGCCAAAATGGATCTTGTTTACTGTGGGTAATGTCGACCGAGATATCGGTCGATATAGCGGTCGATATAGCGGTCGACACTCGGTCGACAGTCGGTCGATACTCGGTCGACACTCGGTCGATAGTCGGTCGACACTCGGTCGACACTCGGTCGATACTCGGTCGATACTCGGTCGACACTCGGTCGACAGTCGGTCGACATAGCGGTCGATAGTCGGTCGATAGTCGGTCGAGACACGGTCGGTAGTCGTTCCAGATGTGTCTCGGCCGATATAGCTTTTCGTTCACCGACACTTCGCCGACATTTCACCGACACTTCGCCGACACTTTGCCGATAGTTGGTTGATAGTTGGTCGATACTTGACCGATGTATCGGTCAGTAATTGGTCGACACTCGGTCGATGGTCGGTCGACACTTAGCATTTCCTACATTTTTTGGCTTGGAAAACAAGAAATTAGAAAGCATTTTCTAGCTTGGACCTAACTGTTTTTTTAAATTGTGTTTCTGCTTTTTTAATTTCAAACTTCAATGTACTTAGCCAAAATTCCGGAATAATAGCTATTAGTCATTTATCTAGCCTTTTCTTTTAATTCATGTGGACGGGATTTAGCCTATCTGTATCGATGCCCACCACCTTTTCGCAGACGTTTCCTCCCCTGGTTTTTTTTTTTAGGGGTGGGGGTCTCGCTACGCGTAGCCGGCTAGAATTGAATCATGAAGAAGTCCGCTAAGTGAGAATGATAGGCCTTCATGCAGCTTCTTGTTATGTGATTTATTCCCACCGTGTAAGGCCTATATCTGGCTGATTTTTCCTATGCCGAGAATTTTTCAACCGACTCAGAACTACATTGATGGAAAAATGTATTTACAGTTCATTTTTTTTTTAACTTGTTTTTCCTTAACAAGTTAAGATAATATTAATGTTAACGCGGCGCATACTGTTTTCCTTTTATTCAGATGACCAAAAGTGACTTACCATTCAATATTAATTTCTGTATACGCATGGTCGTCTTTATTTTGAACACAATATAAATATAAAGCGAAAGGACAGAGCAAAAGGACAGGATAATGTAATAAGAACGTATGAGTATTTTGCTTGCTGTAAATTGAAATCATTCCCACAATAAATGAATGTGTTCAGTCTGCTGGATATTTTTGTCACCTTCCTCGGCGCATTATCAGCGCGTTTTATCAATAAGTGATTGTTAAACAAAGGACTGTTCCCGTCTTCAATGCAGAAATATATAGGTTTAATTTGTGGTCTCTGCACAAACGAGAACTTGGCGTGATGAAGCAGGTCAAAGCCCGATAATAAAAGATGTGTATTCCTCGCTCTTAAAGCATGTCATCAACTGCCTTTTCCTATTCATTATTCGTCCACTTCGGGACTGCGGGAGCAGTCATTTCACTCGTCCTTATTAAGTATTCTTCGACTGCAGGACCACAGGAGCAGCAGATTCAACTTAGGCTGAGACAGGTTCTGTTTAACAGCTAAAACTCAGACGATCGGAGATGATACAAACTGGAAAAAAAAAATGGTTATCATGTCCTTAGTTCCCAGTGCTCTTCGGTTCCCTTCATAGAGTAATCGCGCCTCGCACTGCCACATGTTCCCCCATCGCATGATAACAGTAATTAATGACGTCTTTGCTAAAAAAAAAAGCCATTGGACTCACCTGATAAATTAACACACGACTGATATTCGAACGACAGTTGACCGATATACCACCGACAGTTGACTGATATACCACCGACAGTTGACTGATATACCACCGACAGTTGACCGACATATCACCGACATATGACCGATAGTAAGTCGAGGTGCTTCGTCGAAATATCGACCGATACTCGGCCGATAGTCTATCTCACTATCGACCGACTATCGACCGACTATCGACCAACTATCGAGCAACCATCGACCGACTATCGACCGAGTATCGACCGACTGTCGACCGACTATCGACCGACTATCGACCGAGTATCGACCGACTGTCGACCGACTATCGACCGACTGTCGACCGCTATATCGACCGCTATGTCGACCGCTATGTCGACCGATATCTCAGTCGACATTACCCACAGTAAACACGCCAAAATTACAATAAGTGTATGGAACAGAACCTCGATATAACGAACCTCGATCTAAGGAAATCCTCTTTATAACGAACACAATCCAAAAACGCAAACGTAAAATATATCTCGATGTAACCACAGGTAGCGCAAGCTCGAAATATGAACATCGGCGAGCATCGGCATTGTTGCGTAACATTCAAAATATAAGGATTTGTATGGGAAAAAAACTATTGTTTCTGTAACCTACGAAAATGAAAGGATTTCAATAAAAAACAGCTTACCTTACTTAAAATGCGTGTTACGTCTCTCCTGTATGGTCCACGGGCCAATTTATGGCCGTTTTATGGGTTTTTATGTTAACGGTTCTCTCTATATAAAGGTTTAGGTAAACCTTTATATAAATTGGCCCGTGGACCACACAGGAGAGACGTAACACGAATTTTAAGTAAGGCAAGCTGCTTTTTTATTGAAATACTTTCATTTTCGTAGCTATGTTACAGAGACGATAGGTTTTTTTCCCCCCATACAAATCCTTACATTTTGAATGTTACGCAACAATGCCGATGCTCGCGGATGCTCATATTTCGAGCTTGGGCATGTGACCGAAAGATAGCTTAGTTACGATGAATGCGAAACAGACCAACGAGCCAGGATAAAATTTATGGGTACGGAAGTTTTAAGCAGTTTTGTTTGCCTGTTCTTGTGTTTCTAGTGCCGTAGCTGTGTACAGTTCTGAACTGAGACAACGAGCTTCGCATACAAATGTCTATTACAGAAATTGTTCGGATCCAGAAATGCTTGTTTTCCCAAAAATTCGTTAAATCGAGGTTTTCGATATAACGAGCAAATTTCCCCAGTCCCTTGCCGGCACTTCGTTACACGTGGTTCCAGTGTATAGTGAAACCTTTTCACGGAGCATGGCCTCTAAAAGGTAAAACTACCAACCCTAGTTCGCCTTTATTATTTTTTTTACATAATTCGCCCCCTTATTTAGATCGATATTACTTTTCATTATAAAATTGTATCATTCGAGCTTTCAATAAAGGAGAAATATGCAAATGTAAAGCTTATAAATAGCCAGAGAACTTCTTATCCGGCTCACCCAAAAGTAGGTTGTTCCTCCAAAGTCTGTCGTTGTTTTACACGATTCACTAGGCCTCTGATCTACCCCCCTTTCCCTTCCGCTTATCTTGCACCACCCCGTTAGGGTAAAACTGTGAAATAGCTTGCAGGGGAAAAAGGCGTGCTGGTTTAAATCGGACATCGACCACATTAATGTAATATTGTGAGAATCGTCAAAGCTAAGTTAAAAATTGCTTGTAGCAGACTACGGTTGAACCTCGCCATGACGGCCACGTTTGAGGTCAGGTTTGGGTGGTTTCAGTCACAGAGCTTGGCCATGGCCAAGCTAGCATAGGAGATATAATGGACTAAGTAAGTCTATATGTCCGTGTATACGTAGTACTTACTACCTATCAACCAGGGCGGATAAAGGTTTATCCGCCCTGATCAACTAAAGACCTATCAAGCCTGTTTGCCATATAGGGAAGCACGGACATTCTTAGACAATTTTTGGGCGCTGATGAGGCAAAATATGACGTACAGTAGTAATATTCATCATAATGCGCAATGCCAGGGAATCACCTTCATCGGCTTTAAGAGAACTGACTTGTATAGTTGAATATAGCTAACAAAAGGATGCTCGAATACAAGAATATACTAGGGCGAACGCGAAGGTGAATTACACAAGAGGCAGAATAAGACGCGAAGGATGCAGATCGAACAACTTTATTTTATTGTGCAAAAGGAAGCAACAAAATGAAAACATAATAATAATTAACGGAACTGAGGTCTTTGGCCAAATGCGGAAGTTGTGGCGCCTCGCCGAGCGTAAGGCTGAAACCTACAGCTGTTCGCGTAATGGCCAATCCAACCGCATCTGAAACAGGTCAGGGGGGTGGAACCAGGCACGGCAAGGACTGCAGAACCAGGCTCTTACGCAAGGTCTTGTCAACTTTAGTCAAGGAACTGCAAAACCTTCCCATAATCGCGGTCAGAGAAGAGGGTCAGAAAATACGCTTTTTAAATGCTCTTTAGGCTTATGAATGAAAGAGCAAAGAAAACAGGAACTGAAAAGAAATTTCAGGCCACTATTCCCCGGTAATGGAAAAATAAGTTTGGAAACTGTAAAAAAACAACTAAGGGAAAAAAGGGGGATACCAAGGGCAATCCCCCCCCAAAAAAAAAAACTGCTCAAAACTAAGATGTAACCCCCAGAGGAATGGTGGCCCTAGCGCCCAGTAATCCGAGAGAGTGTAAGTCACCCCTCCATGCGCCGCCATTGGG